CTGCAGTGGGTGAGGGAGGGTAAGCTCTGCTCCCCTCCTCCTCTGCCTCGTTGAGCTCATGGGCCGCCTGCCACAAGGGACAAAGTTCATACCACTAGGAGGAGCGACTCACATTGGGAGTGTGGAAGGGGGTCAAGGGATGGGAGCCCAAGGGGACCCAGGTGCAGGCCAGGCAGTCCCAAAGAGCACTCTGCCTCTCCCGGCCCCACTCTGCACCAGTCACCACCATCAAAAGATGAAGTTAGTCCTGAGGGTGATGGACGGAGTTCAAAGTTACCTGCACCCCCATATTGCCCATGCTAGTCTCCACAAAATTCTGAAATGTGCAGGCATTTTCCCTCATGAGATGGGAGAGACCATACCCCATCCCAGAAAAAACTTTCTGCTGGTCACCCTCCCCTAAAGGAGCACACTATGCAGTGTCACCTGCAATGTGCCAGCCAATTTTCTAAGACATAAACTGTGGATATTCCACATGAGCAACAAAGGATGAGCTTCTGCAGATAGTTGTATGCTGTAACCAGCATTACCCTGACCGACTGTGGGCATTGAGTAATTAACTAAAATCATAACAAATTGTCAAGTACCACAAAAATCGCTATTTTATCTGAAGAAAAGAAAAGGGCTTCTCATTTCTCTTTCTTCTTTGGTATCTACAAACATCATCAAGGCTCATGGCTTCCCTGATGCCATTGCATCCTCGCTACACCTTCCTCCACTCTCCAGCAGTCCGGAGCTGAGGGGTGCTTTGATGCCGCCTTCCCCCCACACAGCCCGTGCCCTCCAGGGCCTTCTGAGAGATCCTGCTGTGCGTTTCCCACCACAGCCTCACATGGTGACTCCAGTCCCAGGTATTCCCGGTGCTGAGCCAATGTTTCACTGCAGCGGGTCCCAAGGTCAGCTCGTTCCAACTCCAGCAGCCAGAGCCCACCCACACTCACACACTCCTGACCCCTTTGCAGCCCTCCCTGTTCTGTTTCCATAGCACTCATTAACTCCTGTCACGCTGTCTGGTTTACTTACTTACTGTGGTAATCATCTGTCTCCCTCCTCTAGAATGGGAGCCTCACAAGGACAGGGAATTGGTCTGTTTTGTTTTTACATGTATCCCAACCCCTCAGAACAGTCCTTGGCATATACTAACTGTGACATGGCACAGTCAGGCTCAAGGCATGACGGGCACATGCTGGGCAGCTGACTGAGGTTGGAGAGTGAGGCAGGTCCTGGATAGTGGGGAGAATGTTACCTTGGAGATGATGGAGGTGGCATCCCTCCCACCTATCTCCCTAAAAAGCTTACCTGTTGCTTCTGATTTCAGACAGGCTTCTTTAGACAACCTCCACAGTGGCCCTGGTTTTTAACTACAGTTTTCAGATAGAACTACTATGTTCTATCATAGTCTTGCCTCAACCCCTTCCCTGCTCTGGAACTCACTTCAAATTAGGCCTACCAAATGATGGAAGAAAAAGATATTGTTTATATTTTTAGTTTGGAACTAAAATTATGCTGTGGGGACTCTTCCAACCTTCAGCTTCCCACTCAACGAATAAGACTCCTAGTAAAGTTTCTATGTTATCCTCCCCTCCTCTCACACACAAAGTGACTGTGTGAAGCTGTGGATTTAGAGAAAGGGCCCAGAAGCAGGGTGGTAGGACACAACACCAGGGTACCCCAGCATCCTTCTCCAGGACTGACTCCTGTCACCCCGAGGAGCCCAAACACCAACCTGAGAACCATGACTTGAAATAAAATCATGAAACCAGGAGGAATAGGGTCAAGCCAATCTAAACGGTCTCCATTCTCTCTACCCTCCTTCCCACATTGGCAGCAAAGTGCCCTCTCTGGAAGAAGAATCACTTTCTGCTTTGGCAAAGAGACAGGAGGATGACAGGTGAAGTGTCAGGGCCCATTCATTCCCTGTAGGAGCTTGCTTTGCTTGGTGAGGCAAGGGGATTTGACTGATGCCAGAAAGTTAAACTGCTGGGAACACAAAAATGAATCCTGAAAAATAGTCAGGTCTAGGTACCTCTAATGACTGTCCAAATCTTTGATCTGCTGCCCTCACCTCAGCAAAGGAGCCTTTCATTAATTCAGCCAGAGGTCCTGGGGGACTCATGCCTTTCAGAGCAAACCTGGGCATCTGCCTCTGGCTGCAGAGTCCCTTAGAACACTCCCTGCCAGCTGCTGCCATCCATCAATGATCAGAGAAGAGGAGCACTCAGGCCCTGTGCTTGACCATGGGAAGAAATCATGGGAGGTGGCACAGGGATTAAATAAAGAGACTATGACTGGGTGTCCCCTGACAGTGTCTCTTCTATCCATGGAATTGCTAAACTGGAAGGTGGGTCCTTGCCAGGGGAAGGAAGCCACAGCAGACACCACACTGCACAAAAGCACCCATGTGAGAAACCAAGGCCTGTGAATACTCTTTTCTCTCTGGGCCTGTCTTCCCACAGGAGACACAGTCAGACCCCCCCAAGCAGAGCCTAGATCCTGACAGGCCAGACAAATGAAACAGGGAGACCCCACTCCTATCCCAGCACTCCTGTCACTCCCCCTAACTGCCCCTTCTTAGCCTCAGGCCTCCTCCCTCTTCATGCCATCCCTGCTAATTCCCAGGCCAACCTTTACCCAATTCCAGAGAGGCTTGGAGAAAGCTGTTCACCTCCTAATCCCTCTGCCACGTGAGGAGCTAAGCTGGTTTCCAGGTTCCAGACACAGAGTCCCAGCACCCAGCTTAGTCCCCAGACTCCTGCTTATGCCCTGGGACAGCCCCAGCTGTCCCCATAATTCTCTAAATGAAGAGAGCCCAGGCCTAAATTCCTGGACATGCACATGGAGTGTCCAGGGCTGGTAAGAAAGAGGAAGACCTCCCTTCTTCCCTCACAACACAGACTGAGCAAAGTCCTGTGATTCCAGGCCACAGGCCAGAAATTCCTAAGAAGAAAGGACATTCTCATCCCTCCAGGAAAACACAAGTTAACTTCCAGCCTCAGGGCCAATCCCTGATTGCCATAGAACAAAAGTCCATAGGCCCAGAGGACCTTCCTTATGTTCCTCCAGAGCTCCCCTCCACTCTGTGTTGGATGGTTTCTCTCCAAAATCACTGTGAGACTCAAATGTGATACATTTGAAGGCTCCTAGTCCCCTGCAATCCTCCTCTCAGCATTTTCCCCCACTGGCCTACCTCTGAGGGCCACATTCCAGTCCAGGCTACAACCTCACTATAAAACCAGATCCCAGAGCCTCAACCCTCATAAGCGTCACCCATCAACAAGACACTCCTCACCCCCAGGTTAGCTGCAGCCTCCAGCACTTGGGAAATCTCTCTGGGCTTCCAAGGAATTCCCTGAATGTGTGCAAAAGTACTGCCATGGCTGTGGGTATAGAAGAGTCACCCTGAGGGCTGGAATAGGGGGAATGAGAAGTCAATAATACACAGGAAAGAGTCAGAGTGAATGCTCCCCCCACAGCATGCACACACACACTCAGACACACGCACACATTTAAAGTGGGAAACTTTTAAAGGAAGAAGTGCTGGTGTCAAAAAAAGATAGGGTATGGGATGGCTTAGGGAACATCCTGGGGCCAGCAAACACAAGGCCAAGGCTGAGGAATCTTAAGACCACAGAACAGTTTGGTCTTAACATCATCACCACCAACATAGCTACCATTTATTACGAACTTTACACATATTCTCTCTAATCCTTACAACCTAGCAAAATAGGCAGGAACAGCCACTGAGGCTCTGAGAGACACTTAGTAGCAGAGCCAGAATCCAAACTCTGATCCAGAGCTCACCTGCTCTGAGCTCTCACGTGCCTGGCATCATGCTGTATGAGAAAGAGCCCTTGGAAAGGTGTGGGAGTCTGTCTAGGTCTGGGTCTCCTGCAGGGTGTCCTTAATGACTGTAAGGTCCTTCTAACTCCAGCATTCTGTGTGTCTCTATGGGACTCCCCGAGGTGGAGGAAGTACAAAGTACAGGAGATGAAAGCATCCAGCGGCTCTCACCTCCCCCATTTTTGTAGCAGAGATAGGGAAACCTCCAGACGTTGCCTAAGCCAATGATCTCCCCCGCCACTGACAGCACAAACTCCATCTTGTTGTTCCAGTGCCCCCGCTCCAGGGTGCCGTCTTCCTCCGCCTTTTCCACGACTGGATACATTGGTTTTGTCTCCCCATTACTGGTTGTGCCTGGGATTCTGCTATCCATTCCACCTGGAAGACAAATGGGAATCTCTGTGACTGTTGGGAACCCCAAAAGGAAAGCCCTCCTTCTCCCTTCACCAGCAAATTCCCAGGAGAATCCATGCACCGGAGAGGGTGAATTCCCACTCCCTCTCTGCAGACCCCTGTCCTCCTTAGCATCTTTTATTGGGAGACGCTGGGCAACGGTGACTGAGAGTATGTATTCCTTTCCTGTCTCAGGAACAAAGCTGCTTCCACAACACAAACTCTGTTGGGTTGTGAGCATGAACACATTCAATGGCCCTTGTGTTGTCTAAGCTCTCCCTGTCACCGTATAATCAGCCTTGTCTGTAATTCCTTGTGCTGGGGGACATCGAAAGGATGGGATTTTACACATCCTCACAGCACCAATTTCCCATGCAGGAATTTACTCCAAGGAAATAATTTTGACTGTGGGTAAAAGATTTGGCACTAAGGATGTTTATTATTTATAAAAGCAAAAAATTAGAAAGCACATAAATGTTCAAAAATAGTAGATAGGTTAATAAATTATGTCATATTCATACAATAGCCTACTATATAGTCATTGAAAACCATGCTGCAGAAAGAAAAATGCATATTGAAATAGAAGGACGCTCAAAATACTTGACGTGGGAACAGCACATATGAAATGATTGTGCCTCACAAATATTTTATAAAGTATTTGTATGCATTGAAAGATTGAGCTATCCACCAAAATATTTCTCTTTCAATGGTTGAATTATAGGAATAACTTCTACATTTTTATTAAAGAACATGATTTATCTTTGTAATATAAAACTTAAAGCCCTTTTTGTTTGTTTGTTTGTTTGGGGGCTGTTCTATACATTCCAAAAAGCCAGTTTTTAAAACATCTTGTCAGAAGAATGACAGAGGTCAGATGGGACCAGAAACTGTCACTCCAAGGAGGTTATCTGTCCAGGTGTCCACCTCTCTCTGAAATCAGCCTGAGAGAAAGATGAACTGTGGGCTCTTTTTTTCTGTTGGTGATGGCAAATGTAGGCATGCGTTCCAGTGGACAAGACAC